ATCGGGACCGGGAGCGGGAGGGGCAGGAGGGGGGGGGGGAGGGGGGGGGAGGGGCAGGATGGGAGGGCGGGGACGGGAAGGGGGGCACGGAGGGGACAGAGGGGGGACAAAAACGGTTTGGGGGGGACTGAGGGGGGGGCTGGGGCACAGCGGGGGAGGGGCCCAGAGGGGGCTGGGGGTGCGGGAAGGGTTTGGGGGGAGGTACGGGGGGGGCCCAGCGAGGACGGAGAGCGGGGGTGGGGTGGCCGCGAGCTGCTGGGGGAGCAGGACGGGGACACCACGGGAACCCCGGAGCCCCACGGAACCCCTCGAGACCCCCCCGGATCCCTGCGAACCCTGCCCGACCCCCCTGAATCCCCCCTGGGTTCCCCCCGAGCCCCTCCCGGCCCCACCGGGCAGGAGAGCGTTCACCCCCGCCGTGCCCTGGGCACGACCCCGACCCCCCCGGGTGTGCAGGGGGTCCCCAGTCCGGGTCTGGGGGGTTCACCCCGTGCCCCCCCCCGGGTGTGCAGGGGGTCACCAGTCCGGATCTGGGGGGTTCACCCCGTGCCCCCCCCCCACCGCAGGTCCCCCCGTGGCCGAGACGGAGCCGGAGGAGATGGAAGCACCGGGATGCACCGGCCCAGGTGGGGACTGGGGGGTTCCGGGTGGGTCTCGCTTGGGGGCCGCGAGGTCCCCGGGGTGCTCGGGGCCACCCCTGAGCCGGGGAGGGACCTGCCCGTGCCTCTTTGTCCCCGCAGCGTGGCTGGTGGTCCCCAAGGTGGAGATGACCCCCGAGGGTGATGGGGATGATGCAGGGGACCCGGAGCTCCACGGCTCAGGTGAGGTCACACCGGCACTGCCGGGCGTCTCCACACGGTCACTGTCACCCTGGCCTGGGGCTGGTGGCAGCGCTGGGTCCTCGGGGGACGGTCACCACGTCCCCGGGGCCAGCGGCCGTGCCGGGTCCTCGAAGGGACGGTCACCGTGTCCTGGTGCCGGTGGCCGTGGCGGGACACCCTGGCGTTGGCACGTCCCCTGCCGTGTCCCCGCAGGGCAGTGGCTGGTGCGGAAGGTGAAGGTGGAGGACGAAGATGAGGCCGAGGCCTGGGCAGCTGCGGTCGGAACCGAGGCCCCGTCGTCTCCGCGGCCGCCGCCCGGCTCCGTGCCCCCCGACCCCGCCGGGCCACCGGGCCACACCGGCGCCTGCAAGGCGGAGGAGCCGTGCCCGGAGGAGCTGGGATACGGGCTGCTGCCGGCCTGGGGGCCGGGG